AATCTTCCTTCAATCCTGAACTATGCCAGAGTAAACAAAACACTTAAGACCAAATTCAAATAATTCAAACCATCCTCAGCCATTCACATTTCGTGCTATTTTATTTTCACTCCTTCCTGGTAATTTCCCTGAAAACCGCTTCCACTGTGACCCTCCTCAGTCAAGCCAGTGCCCTCCCTGCCCGGGACAACCTCCACAGCCTTCACTCAGGCCAAGTGTCAGTCCCTTCTCCAGAAAGACCAGAGTAATTTTGAAAGCGGGGAGATCAGATCACACCCTTCAACCGCACAAAATGCCCTAAGCCTCTGCCCGTCAGCGGCGCTGGGAGTGGACCCCACGTGGACCACGGCCTGCAAGCCCCCGCACGCCCACCTCTGTTCCTCTCTGCCTCTGCCTTCCAGCCTGGCCTGCGCCCCAGTCCTCCCACAAGCCAGGCTCATTTCGGCTTCACCTTCTCTCGGCCTGGATCATTCCTCTGCCTCCAGGTCCCTGTGCACTTCCTCAGAGTATCTTCCCTTGCCCTTCCCACTCTTAGCACCCACATCCTCCACCCCTGCAGTCTCCACCCCTCACCACGCTTCATCTTCTTACCAGCACTTACTCATATTTGCATGACTGTCATCTTTCCTATTAGACTAAGCCCAATGCTGGTGGGGACACTGTTTGCCATCTGATTGCCTGGTACAGGGTGGGCACTCGAAACGTGCTGAATCAATGAGTTCCAGGTCCTGATGAGCTTTCCCTTCTCTGCGTGCATACAAAACTGGCTATCTTACAATAACCCAAAGTTGCCCTGCCTTGCTCTCTGGTTGTGGTACAGAGATTTAGCAAAGTGTTATTTCTTTACTTTGCATCCGGGAGTGACAGGGTCTTGCATATCTTAACAACATAAATGATGCTCGAAACTCGCTAATTTTGTTCAACTTTCCACTGCTACCTGTTAGAAAAGGGACAAAGTAGTTTGTACCATCACACCATCAGCTTTTATTTCAACATAATGATTGTCTCAAAGTGATACGATAAGACTTTAAAAAAAAAGACCAATGAGAAAAGAGGAAAATATATCAAGCCATATCTTACTTTGATAAATTTAAACGTTCGTTTGAAACAATAATTTCTACTAGCTCAGTTCCAAGTAGTGATATACTGGCTCTTTGTTCCAAGAGTAGACTAAAGAATGAAACTGAAATTCAATATTGATTTTTAAAACCTTGTTTACATTATTGTTAACTCACTACCACCATTAGCAAACAACCAATAAAGTCAAACAAAACATACTGTAATAGAGTACCTGCTGTATTCAAAAGTCTGAACAAGAAGTTATGGCTTCACATAGCAAAAGAGCATTCCAAGGTATCTGCATTTACTGACTGAATAACACCAGAGAGTCAGGATAAGACAATGTGCCAGATGCTGGGATCTGCATAGTTTGTGCCTTATTCAAAATGCTTATGCAGATAAATTTCTTTAAAAACTATAAAATTGGTCATATTGTAACAAATGTTTGGCGAGGCTAGTGACCTTGCCAATTAAGCCTTTTTAGAAGTGCGATAATTCAAGTGCAAAGGCAACCCTGCCAGGTAATTACAGAAATTAAAATGCTCTAGGAAGTTTGGCAGTTTATTCTGAGGGTGAAAAGTCTTTCAAAAACTAAGTTGCAGCATGTAATCACCTTCAAATGACATAATATCTGCCACAGACACGGAAGGCTACTTGTTCCACTGTACGAGTTTTTCTGGCGTCAATAAAAACTAGTTAGCCACATTATCATTCCAAGGTCACGTTACTTCTTTTTACTATGTAAGAGTATTAGTTCTTTAAAAGTTTTAAATTTATATATTGGAAAATGGGTTAACCTCCCCTTCTATGTTTTTACAAACAGTACAAATGTGCTCTACTTTACGGACAGGTCATATGGACCTCAAGCGTTATTATAACCCAACAAAGCAGCCTAAGCATAGTGCAGAAGTAATAGTTACAAGCCCTTTAATTTTTTCGGTCTGAGGACCAGTCTATCCCAATCATTTGCCTGTGTCGGAGGTTTGATTTCTTGCAACTGAGTAAGTTTGTAGGATGCTAGGTTCCATGTGTATCACTGAACTGCAGCAAATGCCAAGAGTCAGAGCAAGCAAGATGCTCCTGCTGTCCTTAAAATACCTTCCACACAAAGTTCCTGGCAGACAAAGGCTCCCAGGGTTTCACTGGGGAGAGGGCTTACCAGACACATGGAAAGAAAACACAGGCCTTGTTTTATGACAGCAGGTTAAACATTTCTTCAATAAGAGCCAATTTTAGGAAATAAGCTTGAATTGGTAGCAAAAACTGTGTCAGGTTGGAAGCATTTACAAAAATAGGCATGTTTAAAATTGTGCCATGTCTTTATTGTAACACAGTCTAAAAGTAAATAATTCTAGAGTCCTTCATGTGGCCTCTGCCAGAACTCTAAGGACGCACACCACAAGCACCACTTTTCTATGCCATATTTTCTTAGAATTTCCTCCTGTCACTCAAGCAGCTAGGATCTAAATTATAAGACATGGGGGCAAATGAAAGTCAAAAAATAAAACCTAAAAGAAATATTCAGTGCTTACATGTAGTTACCAACACACCAATTATTTATAATTCACGTAATGAATGTGCTACCTTAGTCATTTTCAAGCAAATTTCAGTGCTGAAGGATTCTGAATAGGAAAAAAAATCTACATAAATCTGTATGACCAATATATCATTTCTTCTTGTCACTTTTCTGTCTGCAGACTTGGAGGAGGACGTTTCCATTTGAGTTAGCTCCTGTCCTAGCAGGTTTTACAAGATTGGAAGACATGCAGCTGTGGTGGGTCCATGCCAGTTTGGGCTGCATCCTTTAATTGCTCATGAGATTTCATCTCATTCTAAGAATATGAAGTGATCTTCAGTATTGAAGAACAAACCTTAAACAACAATTCTATGAGCTCTTTTATACAATGAAATTTAATAGGATTTGTGCTTATTAGTTCATTTGTCAGTTCTCGACTGACATTTGGAAAATGCACCTTGATTTATAAACAAAGTAAAAAATGACATAGGCCAGGTCTTCAGAATTCCAAGTACTTGCACAAGGACAATGAACTTGCTCTTAAATCAACCCAAATGTGCACAATGGAGCAAAATGGTGTTACTGGTCTGGCAACTATTCACCAACACTCAAACCACTGAACCAATAATGAAATTATACTTCATGGGCAGAGACGTCTGAATGAAAACTCGTAAATGTCAAAGGACATGAAGACATATTTAAAGTAGAAGAGCGACCTCAGTACGGTGCTTGCAGAACTAAAGGGCGGTTTGATGACGGCCACTAGGCAAGATGAGGGGCCATGGGTTCCTCATAATCTGAGTAGGCCTCAGTTTGCAAAATTCTGTCCAAATGTACCAGTTACTGTACCTAAACGCCCAACGGCACCTTGAGGTTTCCAGAAGGTCCATATATTTTCCAACTGTGTAGTCTGCAAGCAAGCCTGATGCGCATTTTTTTAAAAAGCACCTAAAAGCAACAAGTCAAGGTAAAGTGTGCCACCTGCCCCAAGGCAAGTAACCAAGGTCTAGTGGACCTCTGAGCCCTGGGAGGTCTGTCGGCGTCAGGAGGCTGATCCCTGCCTCCTTCCCCCTGGCACCTCGCCTCATGGAGCCCGCAAAGAGGCGGCACGGAGGTGGGCTAGGCGGGGCACAGCTGCATCCACCCTCCCCTCTCCACTCCCCGACCCCGACCCCACTCACTGTTGCTGGACTTGAGGTCCCGGTGCAGGATGGGCACGACGGCCTCCTCGTGCAGGTACAGCATGCCCCGCGCGATCTGCACGGCCCAGTTGACCAGCACGTGCGGGGGGATGCGGCGCGCGCGGCGTGGGCCGGGCGCGCGGGGGTC